GGGGGGGGGTCGTGGGGGTTCGGTGGTTATTTCTTTATTTGTGCCATTGTTCGGGCAGTATTGCAGCTGCATGTGGAAAGGGGAAATTAGTATATGAGGTAGGCAGAAAGTGAAATCATAGTAACACATGTATTAGTAGTAGTAACTCTTTTTCTGTACAAAATATTAGCGCTGAATGTTTCAGTAGGTATGAATGCCAGAAAATCCGTTGTTTCATTTGGTAGCATTTTAAAAAGGAAAAAAAAATGCTTATTTGAAAATGGTTCCACTTTTAAGGGTTTTTTGTTTTTCTCGTGTGTGTGTGTGTGTGTGTGTGTGTGTGTGTGTGTGTGTGTGCTTGAAAGAGAGATTCTGATATAGCTCTCGTGTTAAGACTTTTTTATTACGGTTGTTGGGATTTCGTGGCCTCGTGGAGAACAGTGCTGTGCTCCACCCTTCGGTTTTGCCCTGGAAAACGGGACAGCTAGAACTCAGAACCCAATGTGAATCACATGGCACTTCATAGGCATGTGTTACAGCGGAGGAGCTGGCCAACAGTATTTTTGTTTTCTAACTATCTTCACCTGTTTGTAAATGACCTCTCCTCTCTTTCATGTGAAGGGATGTTTCCTGCTCGTATGCTAACCAGGTCCAAACTAGCTTCTTGGCATGATTTACGCTGGTAACAGCTCAAGTGCAACTGGTGGTCTTGACCACAGTCCATCTGTTTCCTGTAGTTTCTGTTGTTCAGTACACTCGGACCTAGAGCCACAGCGATTCCCAAGCAAGCAGTGGGGGACCCCTCTCCGCATTCTCTCTCCCCATCCTGACTCAGCCCACACCCTCCTGCCACCCGCCAACCCTTGCCTCAACCAAACCCCATACTGTGGGTTGGAACTGGTTAAAAACACTGCTCAAAAAACTGCCTTTCACAGTCTTAGGGAGACTTCTAAGTTACGGTTTCCTTCCTTATCCACCATGAACAGTGACTGGCTTTGTGCAATTGCTTCTGTGACGTGTCCATGTCTTTTATGACTTGGAACCCTGTGCTTATCAGAATTATCTCTGAGCGGTTTCAAAGGGATGATTAGCTGGGGGCCAGGATCCAATTCGCCTCAAGTAGCATTCAGAAGCCCAGCCCTTTTCCCTTCCCCGGGATCCCCATGCCATTGCTGCAAAAGCCAGGCCAGGGAAAAGCAAAGGGCGGTGACATCTTGTTGGGTTTTCAAGGGTCCTTCCAGGCAAAATAGAGGGCCTTCGAACCCTGGGCTTCTTGGCGGGCCCAGTAACAGCAGGGACAGTGGGCTAGTGAACGTCCCACCTGAATGTAGTCTTCCCGTGGTTCAGCCTTCATTCTGCTTGTGTTTGCAGACACCCTCACTGCGTTCAGGGGTGCCAGGCTCTGGACAGGTGAGTGCTTGCTGTGTGTATTTGGTTTCTCTGCGTTATCAGGGGGTGCCTTGAACAAACCCAGACTTCATTACGTACTGATTCTGGAACATACTAGCTGAAGAAAAAGGAAAAGGCTGACGGTGACGAGGCCATCCTGCTGCTTCTCCTCGGTCCCCTAACCCACAGTGACTCAGGCATCAGAGGCGGTGCTGCAGTGTGAAGCGGTATTTGGTATAATGTACAAGTAATTTATTAACTCTCTTGCTAAAGGTATGCTGCTTTTAAGATGCACTATAGTTTTGGATTTAATCCTTGTTAAAAAAAAAAAGGGGGGTGGGGGGAGTGCTATGTATGCTAAGTGCCACTCCTTGAAAATGGGCGTAAGACTAGCTAGAGGGCTGGCATGAAAGTGGCCACAAGGTAAGTTCACATCACATGAGGCTCCATGCTGTTGTCAAGAGGCCTAAGTCTACACGTTCTCGTTAAATCAAATCCTTCACGGGGCCACCAATAAGCTTTGAGAAACTGCAGAGTCCTGCCCCCTGCGAGCCGTCTTTCACATCCCTTGGAATAACCTCCTCCTCTCGGCAGGGGGAGCAGCCCGCAGAACAACCCCCCACCCCCCCACCCCTGTCCCCACATTGCTGCCCACATGCTGATCCACTTAAGCTAGGATCTGTTAAGTACAAGAACCTCACCTTGCTCTCCTGGCGCTACAGCAATAGGAGACTCAGAGGTGTCTGTGAGGGGACGCAAATCAAGTGTGTCCACAGGTCAATGTAAATAGAATAAGGGGTGAGGGGGTTTTATTGTTTTTTTCCCTGGGGGGGGGTCTGCTTGTATCGTGAGTTCATTTTTGTCTCCCCCCTAAATTGAGATAGCTTCCTCTTCTGGCCAGTCCACAATGCAATGGCCTGTGTGCAGCTGGTATCCATACAGAAAGCCCTCGTGCATAAAGGCAGTCTTTGTACAGGCGTATGTTTATGATACTGCCCGTGCCATCTCCCGACCCAAGCATCAAAAGATGGATGCTGTAGAATGGAATATATTTGTACACAGATGGTGCGTGCAAATGGTATTTGTATATAGGGAAGGAGAAAAAAACTATTGTGGCAGATTGAGGATAAATTATTCAACGGACGGTACAAAAACATTACTTGCAAAAAAAATTAAGTGTATAGTATTTTCCTACACTCCACCCTGGTAGATAATATTTATATCAAACACGTATCAGTGCATTTTAATCGTCATGGAAACGATGCTGCCCTTTGTGAAGAATACCCACTTTGTTGCAGAAGCCAACTTGTGTAGCTCTGGTTTAATGTTGTGACGTGCGGTGTGTGCGTTTTGCTATCACGCAAAGGACAGACAACTCCGACTTCCATTTTCATTCCAGTTTATCGACCTCAGATGAACGTGGCCCTTCTTAAAAGCAGAAGTGCACCGAGACCATTCATTTCAGGTAGACTCACATACAGTGCCAAATGCTCCCTTGGGGACAATGGGACATGCCTATCAGGAAAGAGTGAGGGACAAAGAGCGGTTTCCCAACAGATAGATGCTAAGTCTACCAAAACAAGTCTGGGGGGCAGCGAGTGACCTCCAATGGAGTGCAGACAGAAAGCATTCTGCAGGAGGTGCGCGTGGGCCCCAGCACTTGGAGCATTTGGGAGTTTGGGGTGCTTGTAGACACCGAGAGCCATTGATGGCAAGCGCCCCCTGTGCGCTGGAGGCCAGGAGAGCCCCCGAGAATTTGTTGCAGAACCAGTTGGATGCAAGCGCACCTCTAATCTATGCCTTACAAACTCCAGAGGCCATATTCAAAACAGGGTCTTCTCAGCGTATGCAAGGGGCCACCGCCCCTCCTCTCCTCTTCCCCAGGTTGAACAAGATGGACAGTTTTCACACACATCTACCTGTATAACCCTCTGTACCTCTCATAACTGGTCAACGACTGTAACAGGTTACATCAGGTGTTTTTCTACATACTTTTTACACAGATTCTATGCGATTAATGTAACTTAATTCAATGCATCATTTTATTGTACTAGTTCTTAGGCTTATCTTTGTTTTTTTTCTAAGTGATTGTGGTTTTTCTTGTGGTTTTTATTGTAAAAATGAAGTCGCTGTTGATGCTTATTCTCTGTAACTAAGAATTTTTACCTTTTTTGGAAAAAAAGCATTGCTATGAACTAATGAATTGAAACTTCATTTACTCATTGTAAATACTCTTATTGTGGGGAGAAAAATCCACTCAATTGAATTGCTAGTGTTAACTGAACTTTGTCTAGACACCATTTCTGCTGATGAAATAAAGACAGAGCATTATGCATTGTAAGCAGACCTTCTCGGGCTCTTCCTGTCATGCAGATTGCACAGCTGGGAGCCTCAAGGAATCTTCCGACCCAAAAAGGCAATCTCACTTTCTCTAGTTCAGAGCCTCACTGCTACCCGATTCATCTGAGTAGAAGTTGTTAAAATGTGATCATGTTAATGGATTTCTTTCTTAAACTCTGAATTTTAAAAACTTCACTCTTGCCCAGGCAAATAGATCAAAGGCCCTTGTGTTAGTCTGGGTACATTAGAGAAACAAATCCACAGAAACTCACGTTTAAGAGAGAGTTTCATATAAAGGTTAAGTGCGCATCAAGAAAACATCCTAACAGCAGAAGTGCTGCCCAAGCCCACAAGTCCCAACATTAAACCATTAACCTATATGTCCAACACCAATCCACAAAGTCCTCCTCCATCTCACAAAACACAGGCAATGACGCTGACTGCAGGAGGAAAGCTGAACTAGTGAATGTGTAAGCATCTCAGCGCTGGCAGGGGTCTCCACACTGCTGCTCCAGCACTCAGGGCTGCATCAGGGTAGGTCCATGTGGCTTCTCCTCAGGGATGTCTTGCAGGAAGTGAGCCTTGCCCGCTGAAGCAGGGAACTAGCTAAGCAGCGGCACCCTGGTCCCACCATCAGAAAGCAAGAGACCCAAAAACTAGAAAGGTGGGGCTCACTGAGCCATTTATCCCTCCTCCCTTTAATTAACCCCACGTGTTTATTGGCCAGGTTGGCATAATTAACTACCTCAGCCCTCAACCCCAAGACTCATACCTACCAGGTGTGATATTAACATTAGAGCCGAGAGAGTTACCATTAAGGGGGCCTGTGGGGGACGGTGTGGTTTTCTTACAAATGCAATTTCACAATTTAAAAATGTTTAAAACCTAAAAGTAAAAAAGGGAATGACATTAAATCAACAAGGTACCATGTGTTAGAGGTGAACAGAGAATAGGACTGTGGGTGGGATCAACACCGTTACACCCAAACACCCCAGCCCCCGCCCGCACCCAATCCTCGTCTCGTGGGGGTGGGGGGACGCCAGGATCGGGATACACAGACCGGCTTCAAGACGGGAGCTGGGACCCCCGCTCTTCATCATGAGGGGACGCCAGGAGCGGGGTACCCAGGCCCTGCATCAAGACGGGAGCTGAGAGCCCTGCTCCTCTTCACCTGCTGAT